AATTATTTTGGTCGGTCTTAAACGATGAGCAAATAATCTTTTGTACATTTGGCAACAGGCATATTGGACTGGGTCGCAGATATCTTCACGGTCTTCTTTCTTTGGCGTTTTTTGGATCTCGTCCCTTTTGTTGGCACTTTTCCTGTCCTAAAGAACCAAGTAAACCGCATGCAGAATGCACTCGGAACTAAGCCTGTTGCTAGTACATCTCAAAAGAGATGCACTACCCGTCGTTATGGTTCCAAGTGCCTCGCCTCAAGGCGGGTGAGTACTAAAAGGATAGGGAGGGGATGATTGATGATTTTAAAGTACGTGCACACATACACACACATACATATGAATATGTTTCTTTTAGAGCTCGAAATCAGTTCCTGTACGCATCGTGATAGGGACAGTTACACAGTCAGCGGGCCTTCTGTTGGGTGCCTCGGTGGCGACTCTTTGTACTGCTCTTGACAGTATTACGAGCGTATGGATCCATGTTGGAGGATACACGTTAGCTTATTTCCTAGCTAGCTGCTCCATGCTCGGCGCATTTCTTTATACTGCATTTCAAGTTCGAGAAACGCATCAGCCAGGTTGGTTCTTTTTTTTTTCCCTAAGCTCACAGGTGGAGAGCACATGAAATTGACTGCGGTGAAAGAGAATTACTTTCAGATGATGGGGTCCGTGCGCAGGGATGCGCGTCCGTTTTCAAGTCATTATTGAGTGAAACCGCTGAAATAGTGACTGCGAGGAGATCCGGTTGGAGCAGATTTTGCCTCATTGTTGCTATTTGCTTCTCTTTCATTGAATTTCTTGCTACAGGTAAATTTATTTTGTTTTGCCTGTAACACTCTCATACAAAGCTTTCGAAAAAGAAAAAAGTCTTCACGGTTTTTCTGTTTTCTGCCCAGTGTTCTATTATTCGTCTAGGTACCGTTATTTAGCGGCATGAGATTTTTAGTTGCTTTGTTGTCCAAAATTCAGTTCTTTCGAATTGATTTAGACTTGTTTGGCTGAATCCTGCGCACTCCTCCTCATCTTTTCTTTGAGCTAAAGTTTACATTTTTAGCGAATTTTTGTACCCTTTTGGGCAAGTTGTGCTTTAGAGCTCTTCGTTTGCTCCTTTTTTTCTCCCACATCGATGATTTTGGATCGGCTAGGAGGCCAAAAGGGAACTCCTCCATTTCATTCAATTATTGTGCTGAATTAATCTCTGTCTCTGGTTCGTTTAATTTATGGGGTTTTTTTTTTCTTTTTCGTTCTGTACTCTCAGTTTTGTTTAAATGGCATGCAGAAGTATTTTTCAGAAAGAAATATGTTTCATAATGTTTGATCATTTTGCAGACAATTCGTTGCTAATTTTGCTACTAAAGCGTGAGCCGTTCAGTTGGCCGGATACGAAATATACAATTTTCTTTCTTATCCGAATATTCGCTGCACTTCTTGGAATGGCCCTGCTACCATATGTTCTTTCTAGAACGTCTTTTTTAGGCCAAGGTATATCTTGTCAGCATGCTTTTTGGGTTCGCGTTCCAGTTTGTCTGGATAGGGGTCTAGGTATCGCGTTCAAGATTGCAGGACTTCTCTCAGCTAAGTATAAAAAACTACGGGTGCATCCACTCCCATAGAGCTCGCCCGTATTTTCAAGTCCTACCTTCAGTCAAGGTTTAAGCTCTTTTTCAGTCAGTGATTCCATTTCGGCTCTTCCGTTACGATCCTGAGGGCTAAACCGTCTCACCTCTTCATCTCCAGCGCCGTACGTTCCCACTGCCCAGTCACTGCAATTCGCTTCTCGATCCGGCTGAGCCGAGTTTTAGTAGTTGCCTATTTCTGGACTTTTTTCATTGTCCG